CATACATATTATATATAAGCACATACATATAACCTGGCTCAGAGTTGTTATAAGGATTTAATGAGATAATTTATACAATAAAGTGTTTTGCAAAACTTGAGGCACATCAATATATAAATGTTGATGACCATGATGGTGACAGTACTGGATGAGGAAGATAGGACTAAATAATTTGTATGAAAAAGATCTTGGAGTTTTGGTGGACTACAAGCTCAATTAGAATCAACAACGTAACACAGCAGCTAAAAGAAGATTGATTCCTTTTTTTCTTTCTGAGGCAGGCAGAGGTTGAGTGACTTGCCCAGGGTCATACAGCCAGTAAGTGTGTGAGGTGGGATTTGAGCTCAGGTCTTTCTGACTCCAGGCCCAGCTCTCTGTACACTGCCTCGCTGCCTAGCTGGGCTCAGAGACAATGACAGATTATACAGGGTGGAGGGGGCAGTGGAACCGACTCAAGAATAATGGAATTTTGAATTTAAAAGGGACTTCCAAGGTAAACTAGTTCCACCTCCCACCCAGCGCTGGCATCTTCTCTGGTCTGATGTGGGCTCCATTGCTTCTTAGGGTGCTTTCATGGAAGCTTGGTGTCTGGAGCTAGGCCGGTCAGAGGGCTCCTATCCTGGGCTCTGGTCAGGCCACATTCTGGTGGCGGCATTTTGGGAAGGATACGGACTGGCTGGAGCCTGCCCACAGGAGCATAACCTCCGGAGAGAGCAAAGGAGAGTGAGAACATTTCAGATCCACACTGGCTGAAGGGCCCCGGGCTCCCCGCTCTATTGGAGAGGAGAAGACCCAGGGAAGACATGAAAACCCTATCCAAATATTCCGAGATTTTGGCTTACTAAAAAACTTTCCAACACTGAGCCCTGGAGAAGAGTGCAGGGAAAAGGGAACAGAATTTTGGAGGTCGAGCATCCTGTCCCTTCTTGAATAGCTCTGTGGTTGGAATCCCAACTTGACTGTTCAACCTGTGTGACCCCAAGCTGGTTTTCAATTTCCTAATTGGTAAAATGAAGGGGCTGGACTACATGACCTCTAAGGTCCCTCCCAGGTTTTAGAAAAGGCGTATAATGCCTAAAATGGCCCATAAGGTCCTTTCCAGTTCTAAATTCCTTGAACAATGTCATTTACTGCCGTGACAAGTAGTGAGCTCTCTGTTCTTGGAAGTGCTCAAAAATGGCTAAATATCTGTGATGTAGTAGAGAAGATTTTTGAACTGAGAGGCTAGTTGACCTTAGAAGTCTCTTTTAACATCAAAATGGAAATTTTCTGGAGTATTTTACACTTCCTCCTCCACTCGATATAAGCCTGTATCATCTCCCCCATGTAGGTATGAAGTCCTGAAGACAGAGTCAGGAAGACGTAAGTTCAAATCCTGCCTCATACACATACGATTTCTGTGACACTGGCCAAGTCACTTAACCACTGTCGGCCTTAGTTTTTTCAATTGTAAACAGGGTAGAATAATCTTACATACCTTCCAAGATTGTTGTGAAGATCAAAGGAGGTAATATTTGTAAAGTGCTTAGCATAGTGCCTTGCAAACAGTAGGTGCTTAATGATTGCTGGTTTCTTTCCTTCCAATTAAAAGCTTCTCACCTACTTAGTTCAGTGGCCTAAATGGGGGTTGCTGAATCAATGCTGCTGAGTAATGGAACACCTGGGGATCAAACTGACCTTTACAAAGCACCCCACGGCTTACTGCACTTACTGCCTTGCAGCTCTCCTCTTTCACCACAAGGGGGCAGGGCTGGCCAAGGAAACTTAACAAGCATTTCCTTCAGAAAGACTAACTCTCCTCTTCCTTACCAAGGGCCAGAGAGAAAGACAGTATCTGGGGAACTCCCCATTTTCTTCTCTGTAACCCGCAGTCCAGTCTCCGTCACTGAAGGCTCATGGGTTTATTAAGGTTCATTGCTCCATAGGATATAGAGCTGGGAGGGCTTTCAAGCCCTCATTGTGGTCACATTAGGTCATCAAACCTAAGCCTCTCATTTCAGAGGTGGGGAAACTGAGGCATGGGTTAAGTGCCTTGCCTAGAGTCACACTGGTGACTCTAGGAGCTAGAATTCAAACTCAGTTTCTCTGATCACAGATCCAATGATTTCCTCTCCTAGTCTCCTCTAGACTTTCCCTCTTATCTAAGCTGTCTGTCCTGGATTTGGAGAATGTGGCTTTTGAATCTTGGCTCCACATTGGGCAAGACATCTCTAGGCTTTATTTTCACCATTTGTTAAAAAAAAAAGGAGAAAATTGGGCTAGATGGCCTCTAAAGGCCTTTTCTAGTCTTGTTCCAATAGAAAGCCCTGGACCTGGAGTCAAGAAGGCTTCCTAGTACTAATCCTAGTACTAACCCTGGGCAAATCACTTAACATCTTTTGACTCAGTTTCCTCATCTGTAAAATGGGAATAATAATAGCACTTACCCTCCTGGGGTTGTTGTGAGGATCAAATGAGGTGTCCTTAGCACAGTGCCTGGTACATAATAAGTGCTATATAAATGTTAACTGTTATTATTATATTCTATTCACCTTACCTCTTTAGGGAAGTCAGATTTAGACTTGGAAGGGACCTTAGGACACGTCTGCATTTTTCAGATGAAGCAAGTGAAGCTTCTAGGGGTTAAATGACATGCCCAGGGTCACACAACTGGTAGGCATCTGAGGCAGGATTTGAGCCCAGGTCTTCCTGATTTCAACTCCGTTGCCTTATCTAGTGTGTTTGTTCTTCCAGCTGGCCTGTTATTCTTCCACCTCCCAGCTCTCCATGACTTTAGGGCCAAGGAGGAAGGGACATTCATAGATCTCTCCCCATTGCAAATGGAACTTGCTCAGTTTCTTTCCATGAAAGTACATTTCAAATATAATCTGACCCCATTTCATCTGCTCATCCTGCAGAAATGTATCAAACACCTATTCTGTAAGCACCCAGGCATGTGCTCCACATGGAAAGCTGGTAGGGAGATAGATACTGGCTTGGTCCCTGGCCTCACGCTCTTTCTAGACCCAATGGTGGTCACTTCCCTCCCTCACTCTGTGACCCGGTCACACTTGGCTGTTCCTCATTCATGACCATCTCCTGCCTACAAGCCTTTGTAATGGCTAACCCCCATGCCTGCAATGCACTCCCTCCTTAATTGCCTCAGTGTCCCCCTCTTCCTTTAAAACACAACTCAGGCACCATCTATGAAGTCTTCCCTGATCCCCTCAAGTTCTAGTACCCTGTCTTCCCAAACTACCTTATTTCTAACTCCTTTGTATGTATTTGTATTTATTCACTTTGAATTTATGCTGTATAAATTTTAAATGTACTTTTCTCCTCCACTAGAATGTAAGTTCCTTCAGAGTAGAAATGGTTTCATTCTTGGTCCTGATTATCCCCAAATGCCCAACACAGTGCCTGGCATAAGAGGGATACTTTAGGGGGCAGCTAGGTAGCACAGCAGATAGAACTCCAGCTTTGGATTCAGGAGGACCTGAGTTCAAATCCAGCCTCAGACACATAACACTTACTAGCTGTGAGACCCTGGGCAAGTCACTTAACCCCATTGCCAACCCCCCTCCCAAAAAAATTAAAAAACAGGGATACTTTATAAGTGCTAATTTATCGATTGATAGTGGGAGATATACTATGTGTACATGAACAATATAGTATAATACATATCACTTAATCTCACTCAGCCTCAGTTTCCTCATTTGAGGCAGCCTATTCAATTTTTTTTTTTTTTGGCTAGGCAATGGGGTTAAGTGACTTGCCCAGGGTCCCATAGCTAGTAAGTGTTGTGTGTCTGAGGCCGGATTTGAACTCAGGTCCTCCTGACTTCAGGGCTGGTGCTGTATCCATTGTACCACTAGCTGCCCCCTAAGGCATTTTTCTAGTCTAAAAGTTCTCAGTGTCCCCAGTCAGCCTTGTTACAGTATGATCTTTAGGCCTCTAAACTTGGGGGTGGAATCGTGAGTATTTGTGTTCTAACCCGCCTTCTGCTACTTACTAGTTCTGTGGCCTTGGTTAAGTCATTTTACTTTTGTGATCTTAGTTTTGTTCAGTCATTTTTCAATCATGTTTGACTCTTAGTGACTCCATTTGGAGTTTTCTTGGCAAAGATACTGGAGCGATTTGCCATTTCCTTCTCCAGCTCATTTTATAGATGTGGAAACTGAAGCAAACAGGGTTAAGTGATTTACCCAGGGTCACACATCTAGTAAGAGTCTGAAGCCAAATTTGAACTCATTAAATGATTGTTAAGGTCCCTTCTCTAAAACTATATTCCTATGCTTCTGGTCATTGTCTGGTTTATTGATGTTCTTTCTTAAATGTGATGCCTGGAATTAAACACACTTTTCTAGAAGTGGTCTGCCCAAGGTAGAATAGAGTGGGTCTATCACCTCCCTAGTCTGAGACTCAGTGCCTCTCAGTGCAGCCCAACATTGAATTAACCTCGTTGGTGGCCACGTTGCACTGCTGACTCATGTTGAGCTTGCTGTCCACTAAA